GAATCATCGCCGGGTTTTTACACTGTCCGCTACTTGATCGCGGGTCAAATTGATTAACGATGAGTTTAGCAGATACCAAAACGTTTGATTGATTTTCTATCTACAGAGTTCCAATGAATTCCTTCAATTTTTCGATTCGTGGAGTTAATTATTTCAGCAAACGAACAGTTCATTTAATCGTCTCATTTATAACAATATTTTCTTTCAATCGAATCCAAGCGCAATGTTAAAGCGCAATTATCGTTGAAAAGTAATGATACAATCGGAGAACGTTGATAGAAATGTGGAAGAATTGGCGAGCCACAATAATACAATAATACAATCGATCGAATGTTTAGAATATCGGCTTTACGGTTGACGCGTGTAGTTATTTAACTTTATCGATGCAATGACGAATGCAAATTGCGTGCACAAATGTGCGCGTCATGTAACAGTTACATTCGATTCTGTAGGGACAATAAGAACGCCATAAACCAAACTATCGCGGTTGAACGCGCGGCGGAGGCACCCTTCGTGCCGTATCTGGTGACAAACATCAGATATTCAGGATAGCAGCGTTTCAATTGAAAAGATACATATCGCTTTTATCGCTTCTACTTAGAACCGTTCGCTAATCGCCACGGGGAACGGAAAGAATTAATCAGCGGCGATCGTGTGTCGTAATCTATTTCGATCGTATTGTTCTGTGAAAAAGATGTAAGATTACATTTAATCTTACGCGAGGTGGCTTTTGCGGAACGGAATCGGCTTTCCAGCTGTTATCCTTATTTATGTGTGAATCGTGAGAGGTCTAAGCACTCATCTGGCTAAGTCGCGTTTGAAGAATCAATGAAAATAATCGTTGTTTCTATAGAAATCAAGTGCGATATGTTAATGCCAGTAAGTCTCTATAGGGATGTTGACGGCACTAAGTAATGGAAAAATCTAGTAGCTGTCATTCCCAGCTCCTACAGGGGCGGTCAGGAAGCTACAAAACTGCAATGGAACTTTTCTGTTCGCCTAATTGTCCTAACGGGTGACCTCAACGCTCATTACTCCCTCACCCCTGCTTTTGTCCTCTC